TCGTGGGTGGCAGCCGCTGACCAACAGTTCGCATAATGGCGCTCTTCCGCAGCTGGTTTGCATTCAGCAGCTGGAAATTGTTGCTGGGTGATTTCCTTGTATGCCTGCGCTACGCAAGGCACGGTCAGGTTTGCGCGATTGAGAGTCAGGTGTGGAAGGTCCCCCACCCTGAAACGTTTGGGTGGTCTGCAGGGGCCATCTGCAAGTTTACCTTTTAATTGGCTGCTTTCCATGGATCCAGCCCTTCTTGATGCTGAAAAGCATCAGGGCATGCACAATTGAGCATCATTACAAGGCCACCTTGCCATGAGCGCTGCAACCATGCGCCGCCATCAGGCACGCATCACAGATGTTTAGCCATGCCGTCACAGCCTTTGCCAATGTTGGGTCCTCCCCAACCTTCATCATGCCGAGTAGGCATGACCGTAAGCAATTCTGTGGTGGTCAGCGCCGTTAATGTGAATCACCACTCGGCTGTTACACAACCTCAGCTGTAACACAATCCGGGAGCATCCATCAGTGCCCGCGCGTCCTGGGAAACCAGGCAGCAAACCCCATCAGCCCCAGCTGCTCGCCCCATTGCGCACGCGACTATGTGCTTGAAGGGAGTAGCCTGCAACAGCCTCACCTTCAGCGCACATCACAGAAGTCAGACGCCAGCAAGCTCGCTCGAAAATGGTCCTGCCCGCCCCCCCTTTCAACACAACAGGGTCAGCCGAGATTGCTGCAAGGCAGCCACACCACACATTGTCTGTCAGACTCACGCAACCTCAACCTCGATTGTGGTGCCAGGTGGATGGGTCGGCCATGACGGTGGGGCACCTTTGCAACTGATCTCTCACGACATTGCCGGGGGTTAGGATGCAGGGTGCAGGGGTCTCAAACCCTGAACCCTCAGGCAGAGTTGTGAAGGAGGCTTGAGCTCTCTTGGCACCCACGTACTGCTCACGAAGTGTCGTCTCAAACGCAACTTGGACGGCAGGTGCGCAGGGCGAACGGCCCCTTCATGTGTGGCTCACCTTGGGCTCATCTTCATACCAACGCCTTCCGTGTTCCTCCACCTCATGCACAATTGCACTGGCACACTGCACACCAACAAGATCGGCCACAGGGACGTACGGAAAGGCCCCAAACCCGCTGTGCCCCCTGTGCGGTCAAACGGATGGATGGGATAACTCATGCTGCCCTGGCCTGTAGGCGCGTGCACCCGCAGCGTACGTAGGGCGCGTCACTATGCGGCTGGCCGCATCCTGCCGGCTGCAGTTCTGCGCGGCGCGCTCGTGGGGGGGGGGGCGTCAGGGTGACGTAGGGCAGGGCTCTCACGACATGGAGGATCGATTTGGGTGCGGCTGTGCCCATCCCTTCCTGACAGAACTGCTTGGGGTGACCGCTGGCTTGCTGCGTGCGGGTGTGGCTGGGTTGGAGCAACGTGGCGTCGGCATTGGCATTCCCTGCGCAGGCGACCGCCATCGCCTGTGGCCCATTAGCTGCAAGCTCAGCTGCCCGGACACAGTGAGTCAGGAGCAGCCGAAGGAGCCTGGCCAGCCCGGCTCAACACTGTTCATGTGGTTGAGCAGAAGTACACTATGGCCTGGACAGGGTGTATGACATAACTGTCAGCCACAGCCAACGCCCCATGCTCATTGAGCGGCTGTCCTCATCAAAGCCGGGCCAACTCGCCCGCCTGCAGTCATCCCCCTTGGGGTCGCTGGGGGGATGCAACAAGCCCTTGACCCAACTGCGCTGCTGCTGGGAGTGGAGCGGCAGGACCCAGCCCCTGTGCGCCGCGACCTGCATGGCAGTGCTTTGTATCTCATCCGCCGGGTAATTGGAGCGCGCCGGGCACTTGAGGGATCTAGGCAGAAGCGGCGGTTGCAAGGAACACACGCGGTGGCAAGGCCGAGGCAGCGACGATAATCAGGACCCCATGATGGTGCGGGAACAGCCGCGCTGGTTCCGTCCGCCTCTGTCCGCTCGAGGTCAAAGGCGAAAAATGTGTGCGAGGCGACACTGCAAGGGGCAGCCTAAGGCGTCACCTGAGGGTCCCCAAACGCCCAGCGGGGGTCCCCGGGTTCCCCACACCGGTGGGGCAGCGGGGGAAGCGGGCGGCTGCCCTGACCCCTGCGCCCGTCTATTGGGTGCCCAGCGCCTGGTCCACTCTACTCGCCTTTACTGTTCCTCCACCTCACTCAGCCATCC